CCCACCACCACCATGCCCACTAAACCATGTCCCTAAGCGCCTCATCTACACGTCTTTTAAATACTTCCAGGGATGGGGACTCAACCACTTCCCTGGGCAGCCTCTTCCAATGTTTCACCACTCTTTCAGTAAAGAAATTTTTCCTCACGTCCAATCTAAACCTCCCCTGGCGCAACTTGAGGCCATTTCCTCTCGTCCTGTCGCTAGTTACTTGGGAGAAGAGACCGACACCCACCTCGCTACAACCTCCTTTCAGGTAGTTGTAGAGAGCGACGAGGTCTCCCCTGAGCCTCCTTTTCTCCAGGCTAAACAACCCCAGTTCCCTCAGCCACTCGTCATAAGACATGTTCTCCAGACCCTTCACCAGCTTTGTGAAGCTCGCAGAGCGAGCTGCGGGCTGATCCTGCACCCCAGAGCACATCACCATGGTGCAAGAGACCTGTTCAGCGCCTCGGTGCCACACAGCTGCACCCTGCCACCATCCGTCCTCTCAGCAGTGTTTAGGGCCAAGGCTAGAGCAAGCTCCGAGGCTTGTGAAATTTTTCTTGAGTTTTTTTTTAAGTCTCATGATTCCCATTTTGAATAGAAAAACACCCCCCTTACACACACAGCCCCAGAGCACCCTCCCCCCGCCTCTCCCGCATCCTCTCATAAACACACCTGGTATTTGAACAGATGCACTGAGAATCATGAAGGACAAAAAGCAGCACCGGGAGTGGACTGTAGTAGATGAAAATTGGAAAAGACAGAAAGTTTTACTTTATTTTATGCAGTATACACAATATTGTACTTGACCAGCTACTAAAGTGATGTGAAACTTAAAAACAACAAAAAAAAAGTGCTTTCCAAACACTTTCTCTCCATCCCCATTCCCTCATTTCCCTGGGCCACTGCACTGTATTCACCGAATTATTTATACTATGAAAGAATAAAAATATTTTACCAAAGATAACTCCATCTCTAGGTACCAAAAGCACTCATGAAAATGAACTAAAAATAAAATTAAAACTTAACTCTAAGGAGTCACATATTAGGCAACGGCTTTTCAAAACAGCGATTCGATCTGCCTCCAGGGAACAGCAATTTACAGCCTACTCTCCACTTCTTTTTATTTTAGGCTCTTTACAGATGAAAAAAGCTTTGCTTGCAGCAATGTTTGCTCTGGTCTAGTGATAAACATGTGCTACTGGTCGGCTTCTCTAGCATCTTCCTTTTGTCCCTAGCGATACAGAAAATAAGCATCGCTCTAACCAGAGGCAACAGGGCAAAATGATTGTCTGGACGTACACATGATGTATCTACTACACTGGAGTTTTCCTACACAAGGTCTATAGGCAGCCTATGCATTTTCTGTACAACCTACCGGAGGCACACATTACTCTCCAGCCCAAATTCTGCAAAGGTTCAGCAGAAAAGACTGAGAAAACAATATTGGTTTCATGAATTGAGAATAAAAATCACAAGGCATTATATTATACTGGAGATCAGGAAACTGTCGCGTGAAAGCTTTAATTTTCTCCAATGTGAGTAAATGCCAGCAGTGTTCCACAGAGCACAACGCAGCTTTGAAACTGAGGGGAAAACCAGTGGTACAAAAAATTGATTGTATTGATACCAAAGTTGTAAGTTTGACCTGTAATGCAGGATCAGTATTTTGCCCAACCTGAACATATAGTCGCTATACATCAGAATATTCTTCCGCTGGAGGTATGATGGCTAAATCTAGAAAAGATTTGTTTTTAAAGAAAGAAGCGCAGAAATGGTACAACCTATACTAAAAGAATCGATCCTCAGTGAAACAGCACTGACTTACTAAAAGGTGACTCCCACTTCAGAAATAAAGGCTTAATTCATGCTAATTTTTACATATTACCCCCTAAACGTGCTGAATGGCTTGGAAGGCATATGCAGCCTGAGCGTACAAGGTTTAAGCCAGCCTGTATTAGGGGTTGCATCTCGTAAAGACCATCCCTTGTTTATCCCCAGCACGGTTTTGCCTCGCTGTGTCACATCCTGCACCTATCATTCCTACGAGACTGAACATTTCACCGGGCTGTCCAGTCCAGCAATTCCATCTGGTTTCATAACCCAGCAATGTGTCTTTTTATGGCTTACAAATAATTAGCACCCGTCCTGCAGCTCCGAGTGCTCAAGTGACATCCGATTCAACTAAAATAAACAATAATAATGCTGTAGGAAAAATACTAGTTATATTGTTACTTCTCGACGGCCACTCCCATCCTCCAAAAAAAACCCCCCAAAACCCTGAAGTATGCTTAACACGCTGTTTAGTTACAAGCATCACCCTCTCCTGCAAACCTATTATTAATAATCAGAGCGCATCCGCTAAAACGGGCAAAGGCAGCCAGCTGCCTGCTCTGCCGACGCGGACACGCCGCATCCATTCGCTGCGATCAGATTTGAACAGCTTCTACATTCTTGGCTTTTTTTCCCCAAGGCATCTCTTTGTGACAAAGCGCCTGGGTGGGAGGGCACTCAAGGATTTCTCCACACTTCGTTGAAGCCGCACAGTCGGACTCGGGTCCTCGTCCGTACCGGCTTCTGGAGTTTTGCAACCAGTTTCCCCCAGTTTCGCGCCCGGCATCACTTCTCTCGGGGGAGGGAGGAGACGTTTAGTTTTAAAGTTGGATATAGGGTTCTTTTGCCCCGCCACTTGGCAAACGAACACAAACACTGCATTCTTGCTCTAGTTTCTCACTGAACTTGAATACCAAACTTGAGCCAAGGCCAGCCCTTTCCTTTGGTCCTCTCCTCGTGACGCCAGCCACCAACCGGGATGGGATGCCTTTCTGCTGCGGAGCTGTTTGCACGGGAGCGGCGCGATCCCTCCTCGCTAGAAGGGGGGATCTTCAGCAGCAGCAGAGCCCGAAGGATGAGAGTCCTCATCCAGGCGGAGGGGGCAGAGGACGATCGGGCCAAACCTCAGTGCCTGCGAGGTCCCGGCTCCGCAGCACCCACGGGGATGCGCCCAGCCCGGCTTCACCCCCCCGCTCCCCGCGGGGGCTGCCCTTACCCTGCCCGCAGGCTCCGCGCTGGATGGCGATGATGGGCGGCTGG